ATGAAACCCATTTATAGTCACTCTCTCTTCCATGCCAGTTTGCTCCTGAAATTAGTCTCACAAATAATCCGTGTGTGTGCAGGATCAAATTTTATGGGGTCCGGGGGTTGCTGGAGGCATTGCTTGCTGAAAAGCCCAGGAACAAGGCAGTAAATAGGAATAAATTGGTGTCTGTGAATTTGATTCATGGAGGAAATGAAGTCAAATTGAAAATGTGGCAAAAACCTTGGCTCGTTCATTTTCTCCTTGTATGAGTGTTTTGGGGGTTTTAGTTTTTTGACTACCTAGGAAATATAGTATGGAGCTGATACACTTGTTTGCATAAGGATTTTGACAGTTCAGAAAAAACTGTGGCTAAGATCTTATAGGTCTAGTAGTCTTAAAACTAAAGGGGTCCGTGAATTTAAAAAATGGAGAATCTTTCTTTCTATATTGTGTTGATTTAGAGGCTATTTTCAACTATCTTGCTGTGTTTCAACTCAGTGCTGTGTTTCAAAAACAACTGTTTTCCTCCTTCATTCCAGGTCACTGTCTCAGTTCAACAAAGGTGTCTCGTGCACAGACGTTTCCCAGCTACACCTCAGAGCAGGGCAAGGAGCACCAGCAGTCCCTGTCGCTGTCTAGCAGCTATGGATTCAGCTACAGCTCAGCCCTCATCCAATGACACACACACAACAGATGGCCAGAGAGACAGTCTAGCCTGGAACCTTCCAGTAGGGTCAGGAAGCCACCTGCACCCTCAGAATCCACGAAAGACAAATTATAATGAAAACTGAGGCCTACCAGCTCCAATCCAGTCACAGAGAAGATTAAAAACTGCAGTGCAATTTCCCTGAGAGCCACAGGCTAAGTCTTTTATTTAATTTTTATTTTCTTAATCCATATGTAAAAACAGCCAGACAGATTTCCAGGTATAAGAAAGCAATTGAATCCACTGAAACCCTTATGGTGCGAAGTGGAGGGCACTGCTTCACAGGACACCACCTGTTCTGGGGTTGAAACACTCACCATTATACTTGTCACCTAACACTGTGGTCAAGG